TGAGTGACGATTTTCCCACTGGAACTCGAACTCAGCACCCATCGCTTAAAACAGTCAGCACATTATCCACTGAACCACTATGATCACGAGAGTCAACTACATTTAAATCAATAATTTGTGTTCTACACATCCACTTTTCCTTCTCTATACCACCTAGACCTTACATTATTTCCCGATGAAAGGAATTCGGGTCTTATTTATCGACAGGCTAATCGTTCATTATTCAATGATATTTACATTTTCTTTTGCGTAGTATTTTTATCTTCTCTAAAAATCTATTTATCCTTTCTTGTTTTATATTACTACCATTATGGATGTATTACTATTTTTGGAATGTATAGCTAATAAATTATAATAGGGTATAAATCTTCTCGCCATTTTGCATGTTTTTATCCCTTAATGGTGGCTTTTTTTTCTGGCTTGCCTTTCTGTTTACTATTTTGAACTTATCAGCACCATAGACACATATTCTGTGTAGGCGGATTGATCTGTTGTATTGTGTAGTTCGATCAAGTTACTGTTAGTTGTATAAATGTCAAACAGCAACAGTTACTATTATTAATATTATTATTTAAAACTAATCAGAAACGCATAGAAGACGTTCACTGGTCTGAAATCCGTGCATAGATCTACTGTATTCAGTATTATATGGAACAGACTACGAATCTTCAACAGAATAATGTCGGGTTATTTAGTTCACAGACTTGGAGCGCCGTAGAAAGCACTTCTAACAGGCTTCAAACTTTCATCAAAACAAGGAGGAACTGTGGCGAACAACAATATCCAAGAACTGATGTGGATTGGAGGGAGATACGCTGAGAAGACTGTCGGGTGATATGATGCGTCAAGTGGAGGCGTTCAAGTGGAACCCGAATGGAAAACCATGAGTTAAGCGCTATTTTGAGGGTGACATGTAGGAGATGGTGTGGAGTGGAGATGAAGGCTTATGGGCTATTGAGAAGTCAGTCAAAAAGGATTGCACAAAACAACACACATTTCCACTTTCTCCTATTTCCCGCTATCCTATTCAGCTGGCTAGCACCACGACTGACCATAATCACTCATCTCCTCCATGTCAAACTCGCACCGGCGAACCATTCGTCGTTTCTTATTGAGATTCCAATCGAGCAATGTTATTCAATGAATTCCTCAACGTGTGCCCGTCCAATCCATCTCTTTTCCTCCCATATATTTGTTGAGTAATCGCCTCTCTCCTGTTGTTTTGTTGCCAAGGATTCTTTTTACTTATTCTTTCTGGTCATTTGATCTTCAGTATGGAGCCAGCCAGCGAATGAGGCAGCTGTTGATACTAGTCTGCAACCTGTTGGAAATCGTTTTTGTCACATGCAGTGCAATTTCCTGATCCGGATAGAAGCACTGACTGACTGACTTCACATTTGCGCTGAACAGAATCTGAATGTTGTTTTTCACGCTGGCTGAGTGACAACATAAGATTTCTAAACTGGTTTCCGGTTGATGAAGACATATATGGCCTTTCCGATCCTAACTTTGGCATCTTCATCCGTGCTGTCCGCCTGTAGTTGAAACGATCCTACCCAAATAAGTGAAGGAAGGAACTACCTCCGTTAAATCTCTCCCTTTAATGGTGTTTGGTGCTGGTTGTTTTTGTTGGTTGATTGGTTGGTTATCTTCATCACCTCCGTCTTTTCTATGTTCACTTGGAGTTTTGTCTCCACCACCTGCCTTTTCAGCCAATTTGCTGGTTTTTGCCTGCCTCTAAGTCTTCGAGTTTGTGTGACAATGAGCATAAATCATAGACACGAGAAATCCAGATCTTCTAGAGTCTTCCTATCGGTCGTCCAGCTCATTCGTCTCTTCTCTTTCCCCACACACTGTTTTCCGAATAATCCAGTCCACCACAGTTAAGAATATCTTTGCTGATAATAGACAGCCAGCCAACTTTGTCTTACTCCTGTATTCACTTCAAGTTCAGGCTTCGCTGAGTTTTCCGTTATGGATCACCTGACATGTGGCATTGTCATATCGCTGTTGAATGAGGTTGATAAAGACTTATGCAATGCACTTCGTAATGTTGAAGTAGTTTCCAAATTACTTCTTCGTCAACCCTATCTGGTGGAGGCCTTTTCGAAGTCAATGAAATTGTGGTAGGGGAAAGTTTGACTGCCATTCTATGCTTTGTTCGTTACGTCTAGACGATCAATATTTGTATAATTTAAATTCTGACCAACAGACTATCCAACTAGTTTGTAGTTACACATAATAGCATCATCTTCTAAGGCTGTGCAATTAGAGATAATATTTACTACAAACAGATAACAATGTATTATGGTAACTAACTTAGAGACAAACAATGTCTATTATATTCTTTAGTCAGAATAAAGAGACGAACTTACAAATAAAGGAATTTTGCACATATAAACGCTTTCTAATCTCGATTCGATACATATAATAAATTGAGAACAGATATTTGAAGGCGTCACTTAACAGAATGCCTTACAAGTCTGAGACTCCTAGCTTATCGGCATTCGTCAATAGGGCTTTCATGCAGCGTTGATAAAAGCTATTATTATCATTCCCTTGGGTTCCAAATTAAATATAGGGCACCTACAGAACACCTCTAGCTCATTCTGTTCTCCACTGGTTCGACAATTGCCCATAGGCTCTAATTTCCTCCTAATGTGATCTCCTCAATATCAGCCCTACACCCATACTCATGTCATCCTTTCCCATTAGGGTTTCCCTTTGCTGCTTTTTTCCTGGCGCATTATGTTACTCCCTGATCTTCTTTGTGTATGTACGTTCCATCTCCGATTCCTTCTGCATATAGGTTGGGCAACAGGTTGTTGGTTGGTCCTCTGTTAGCCAGATTTCCATTGTTGGTAATCCTTTCACAATGACCGTCTAATACTCATTATGGAGCAAAGCCGATAGGGGTTGAGGAAATTCTGAAATAGCCTGTTGCGCCAGCTTTTCATGACACGCAAATTCTCTTAACCATAAAGAGGAGGTGACTGATTTGGCATTAGAATTGGAGATCAGGATCATTCTCCTTCTGTTGAGTGCAGTATATTTTCAGAAAAATCGAAAATATGCCCCAATCAGTGCCCTAGTTATCGATTTAATTACTCTGAAATTAAATCTATAGATTGTCAATATATAGAGACGTAAAGGAATCAAAATACATGTTCACAAGGACCACTTTCCAATCACTTATCTATGCACAGACACAATTCAATTCTATGAGCATTCTATCGGCATGTAAGTACAGTGACAGTACAAAAACTTACTTCAATACCACTTAATGATAAATGTTTTGATTACGGATGGAATACGACTTTCTCTAAAACTGAACCATTTAATAAACTAAAGCCTTTATTCTACAAGATGAGACATTTGACTATGCAAGCACTATAATGGTGTTCACTGGTTTTGTAACCCTAACCCGCAGAATCTGGTACGTCCTTCCTATACACACATGACTACATAAAAACACGTACATGACTTGAATAACAAAACAGACGTGTTGTTCACTAAGTGCGAACGTAGGGCTTCAAGCTTCAGTTTTCCAAGTTTCATTAGCAATGATGTTCTTCTCTTACGGGATTGGGTTGGTAGCCCCACATCTAACCTTCCCTTTTAATCAGGCTTATTGGCTAGCTGAGATATATGAGTGCGTCGGCCGGCAGTCACTTTGGATCACGTGCTTGGTTGTAGGACATTCTATCACTGAACTATACACACTACCTCGTGTAACACTTTCAGATTCAAAATCAAGTATGCACAATGTGTTACTTTTACAAATTTTTTCAAAAGAATATATACTGAACAAAGAATACTCCTTTCGACAATTTCATCATCAGGTTTTACAGTTATGTATTCATTATAGTGAATGAATGAATGAATTAGTATCATGAACAACATTATTGTTGTTTAAATAACATCTAATTGATAGTATTGATAGATTACAGCTCAAAAGCATCAACATAAAATAAGCTGAGTGTCAGAAAGATTAGGAAAGATAATTTTACAAATTCACTAGTTTGTAGTCTCTACTGAAGGCCAGGGCAGTAGTGGGGGCTGGACTTGTTTCTTTTGAACACAGAGCACTGGTTGTTTGAGGCGAATTGCAATAGTCTCTGCTGTTCGAAGCATGCGGTGCTTCGATGATTTTAGCAATTTTTTAGGCACCCGGTAGATTATAGAGAAGGATTCTTCCATTCTGGCTGGCTTTGTGGCCAGTTTGCGCCAGATGGGTCAATATCGAATTGTTAATAGTTTTCACTACATCTTTACTTGGCCATAGTGGGACATATTCTCGAGCACGAAAAATCAAGTTCCTAGAGCGATAGCAGATATAACTCGCTCCACAAGTAGGTTGAATTGGTAGATACAATTTGAAGTGACTAGCTAGTCTAGGTACTTCATCTTTCAGTCGAGGTAGCACCATCGGTCGTGTAGAGAATAAGACGTGTAGTTCGCCAGCATTAAAAGTTCTTTGAACTGACTTTCTTAATTTCTTCGTAATTATCTCACTTGGCATATCGCCCATGAATTGCAGTGGTATATAAAGAGGCTTCTTGTTTACGGATAGTGAGTAGTCCTTTTCCGCTTTTTTTGTCATGTTTTTCTTGATAAATTTGTCGGGATAGCTATTTTCGATCAAAGTATCATATACAATGCTTAATTCATCTTCAATTACTTCTTCTGAGCATATAGCTCTAACTCTGTGGCTGAGGGTCTTCACTAAATTTCTTTTGTACTTGATAGGAACGAAGCTGTGAAAATGTGTATATTGTCCCGTCCATTTACTTTTTCTATGCAAATTTTTTTTCTGCTACCATCTGGTTTTCTTGTGAGTAGGACATCCAGGAAAGCAATTCTGTCTTGGGATTCCTCTTCGCATGGGAATTTCATAAGCGAATGTACTTCATTGAATTCAGTAATTATTGTACTCCTATCCGAATCTTTACCACTCATTTATTTTTCTTCTTTTCTCTTATAATTTCATTATTAAAAAGGGTTCCATTCGAAATTTCATGTTAACATCAAATCAAGAGGTAATAAAATCCGAATTATCACAATGTTCATCATGGATATTATCAAAATCGTCGAACAGGGATTCGCCTATACCTGTGGGTGTTTCAAATCTACCTCATATGCAGAGTAAATATATGAATAGTTTTGGAAAGGAGTATATTTCACCTCTCAATAAAATGGATGCATCAAATAAATGTAAGTGAAACTAGGCGATCTGTTATTTTCTATAGTTTGGTTTGTAAGGGTTAGTTATGTTTTTATGAGTTGATCACGGATTGATAACAGTTAGAGAACCATGATTTATTAACTTACCTCGCTTCTACTAAATACATAATGCTGGTAAGGATTAACAATCTAAGCCAGGAGATGCCTCTCAGTCTTCAGTTGAACTTTCTAATTTTTGTGTGCCTGTATGTGTGTGTGTGGCAATGTCTTTACCGATACCGACCAATAGATGCTGCCTTGACGCGATGGTTGGCCTTGTTTATCCTAATAGCCAAAAAGTCTCTGCTGGCTGAAAGGAATGTTCTTGCATGTCGGACCATCACAGAAAGGTCGTTTGGATAGCAGTTGGAGCAGTGGTTAGTCTTTTATACTATGTTGAAGTTTGAGGGCGACGTCGTACACCCGGTGGATAGGTATGTAGTAGTAGTAAGGTGTTTCTCTGAGTTTATAAGCAGGCTAGATATGCTGCCTCTCCATTCTGTGGAGAGGATTTAGAAGAGGTTGGCTGCTAGAATTGTACATTTTGACTTACCTAGCAGTGGTTTACAGCCAGTGGTATGATATTCATACTGACACAACTCCAAAAATCAATTCAAGCAGTTTGCCACTTGGCCTTGTGGTCAAACAGAGCTAGTGTTCCTTCCGTTTCAGTTACTGCACGGCTTGATCTGCCAGGAAATGATAACTACACCACCGACACACATTTCTACAATCACAGAAAGCTTAGGACTCAATCTTTGTTATGACTAAAATTCACTATTCACTCCTTTAAAAAGATAATTAAGAAAGTAAAAGATGAAATATTCATTAAATCAAGGTTTTATTAACAAATCCAGGCGTTGAACTAAGAGGTACTGCACTTGTACAACACACTTAAAGTATACAGACATAGTAATTGACCCCTTCCAATAACATTTAGTTGTGAATTAGGTGTTAAAGATCCTCAGACCAGAGAAAATAACAGACTGTTGGTTTGTGATCTTAGAAAGGTATTTGAGTTTGCTCATTTAAAATAGCATCTTTTAAGTCAATGTACTTTCGAAGTCTACGTCGATTTCAACAATTAAATCTTCAAGAAGATGGTCGGTGTACTGATGTTTCTGTTTCTAGAAGCCGTCTTGTTTGACTTATTTTGTGATAAGTCCAGTAAACACCTGGCTAATCCACAATAAACCACTTAAGTCCTGTGACAGATCCACAGACAAAATTTATTTAATGAAAGGATGGTGTGCTTTGAATTTGCTTTGTCTGATAAATGTGCAAAGATTATTCTCCAGTAAATCGCATAGCTTCATCTGTGTATTAAAGTGGAGTTCAGATTCCTTTTCAAAGGTTCGACAGAATACAATACAACCTAACCGTAAATACGCTTTTCTGTCCGCTTCATATCCACTATCAATCAAATTATAGGAAATTGAAATTCTGATCGACTTCTTTTCATCTACCCCTATTCAAGAAGGAAACTACAACACAGATGAGGATGTCAGAGGTAGGATCGCAAAAGTAAGACAGACCTTCAAAAATTTGAAATTAATGTGGAAGTCTATCACACTCAGTATAACGAACAAGATCAGGATATTCAAGCACATCAGTGCTTCTATGTTATTTGGAGACTTGGCGTAGCACGAAAATCTTTTTCAATAGGCTTCAAACTTTTGTCCTCACCTGCTTTCCTTGGATGAATACCGGATAACGGACAGCCAGAAACGACTGATAACAAAGAACTTGGGGAATAAACGGAACAAGAACCTAATGCCCAACAATTCTGTGGGAGGTTTTGGAGATGGATTGTACGCGCGCTGAAGAGACCACTGAGTGTCATCACGCCCCAGACCGTCGAGTGGAAACCGAACTAGGAACGATGAGTTGGGCGTAGGGTGACATGGAAGAGATCGCATGAGGGGTAAATGTAGAGTCAGCTTAAGAAGATTGCAGAGGACAGATTAAAAGGCATTGGGCTTCTGAAGCACTATGTCTTATGTATCTGTGTCCCGAAACGCGACAAAAAAATGAACAATCTGTCACTCATTAGTTTCCACGGAATTTTCAGTTTCTATGAAAAATAAAATCAGAGTAAATCTTTAAAGAGAAGATTGCCTCATATTTCTCACTGTGTAGTATGTACCCTTACTACATGAACTAACAACTTTCACTACCAGAGAGAACTGAACAGTTGTTTTGTCACTGTTTGGGACTAATCCGAAGTACGCACCTAACTCCAGAGTTCAAACCCAAGACCTTCCGGTTGTAAGGCAAGCTAATGGAAAATTTGGCCACCGGAATCCAACTCATTGGCCCATGAATTCTATCAGTCCGTAATTGACAGTGGATGAAGGTCACGCTAAAATCACGAATTAGCTGAAGTTAGATTCCAGTGACTAAATCGTTTACGAGCCTGACTTGCAAATGGAAAGTTGTGGGTTCGAACTCCGGCAGTAGATACGTTCTGCCAATGCGTTCAGAAGTGGGATGCAACAGCCATTCAGTACTCTCGACTGGTTTTCAGCTGTTCTGTGACTGATATCAATCCGTTTTCAAAATTGAAACAAATCAGAATCAGGTCCCAGTGACTGAGTGGTATACGAGCTTATCTTGTAACCGGAAGGTCCTGGGTCCGAATCCCAGTGGTTGCATACTACAGATGATTCCCAAACCACGATGAAACAGCTGTCCAGTACTCCTAGCTGGTCTTCAATGGTTCTCTAACTGATACCAATCCGTGATCAACTCGTAAAAATCAGATCCCTACAAACACATAAAAAAGGGGATCTTTTTTAACTGGTGTTATGTGAACAATTAGGCTGTTACTCAGCCAACTAACCTACAAGGAACATCTGCTAACCAGTCCATGATTTATGAAAAGAACAAAATGGGTAGTGTTCAGCAAAGAGGCTCTTTTCCGCGAATTCATTTTCATCTTTAGCTGCACAGTGGCATTTACTTAAAACCTTTCACTAAAGAGGACAGTAAGAGAAGTGGTGAGTTGTCATAATCTTAGTTTTAAATATGAATCTATGCATAAGAGAAGTTTAATACGGGTATTAGAGTTACATAATGAGAAAAATAATTTAATGATTGAGTTACCATGATAATAAGAGTAGTTGGATAATCCCCTTCTGTCTGCAGAACTCACGTTTCTCTATCTGAATGACTAGGGCTTCGGCTTTACGCAGAGGAGATGAAGGTGTATTCTTTTTCAGCAGGTTGTTCTTCACTTTCTAGACTACTCTGAAGAAAGACTTTATTGAAATGAAATTACCAGCGTTGACAAAGTGTTCAGATGTCACAGACGACATTTTACGAAGGCTTATCCATAAGGAATCTAAAAAAGGTACAGTTAAATGACACGATTATTCAGTTGGGTACTTACTGAGCAATTCCTATGCCACTCACATCCAATATATTTCTGGCCCTGATGTTTCAGAAGAGATATCTCATGGACGTCTTGCAAAAGAATGGATATCCACTGAATTTCATCAAAAGACATATACCTCCAAGCCAACCGATCAAACCAAAAGCCGTCAAGGAAAGCACAAAGAAAATCGCCCTGCCATATATAAAGGATATCTCAGAAATCACTGCAACACTCTTCAAACCTTTAGGAATTGATGTCGCACACAAACCAACAAAATCACTTCACTCAGTTCTATGTCAACCAAAAGACTCAACAACGAAGGAAGATAAAACCAACATCATCTACAAAATAAATTGTAACAACTGCGAAAAAGCACTGCATTGGCCAAAGTGAACAACGTCCCCGTCGTCTTCGTATCCATGAACATAAGCTAGCCGCCAAAAGAAATGACATGCACTCCCTCATATCACCTCACAACATACAGACAACCACGGGCATCAGTTCGATTGGGACAATATTCAAATATTAGTCGGAAGAAACACCTAGAATGCTAAAGAATTTTTAGAAGCCAGGTATTTCAATGAGTCGTCATTCAATAGACACATCGAGATAGACAAAATTCACCAATCGAGAAGAAGGAAATGTCACACAAAAAGAGTCAAACTTCAGGTCGAAGAAACAATCAGTACCAATACAAGTAACCTAGAAGGTGTGAAAACACACAAAAACAACCAATCACGCTGAAGGTCACCCACCAGGTGAGATGTTACGTGAATTTTGATTTTAAGGGTGACTTAAACTGGGATACTCAAAAGAGAAGAATGTCATCATCTTCAAGAGGAACATTTTTCTCAGTAACTCTAAGAGCAGTGTTCTCCCAGCTGTTGTTTGAATTAAAAAGATACATTACCGTCCGTTTTCTCAACACAATAGCTGACCAATTAGACTGTGACCTGGCAATATTAGTCATAATGAATTATAAGTACAGGTACAAGCAGGTTATCAATGCTCCATCAACTCAAGATGAGCATAGATTCACTATCAGTTGGCAACTTTCATTTTAGCTAATGCTTCGGTGGCACAGGCATAGAATGCTCGCCAACGACGCTGCATGTGGTTCTGGGTTCGATCCCCAGCCGGTGAGGCACTCCTTTAACCTTGTTAAGTCGGCAATAAAACCGGTAAAGGGGGAAGGATTGAGCACGAGGCGGCTAGCAATCCCATCCTGTTAAAATAAACACCCACAACTCCTACCGAAACCTGAAAGCTCTAGCTTGAACCCCTCCCCCCACCTATGTTCCACTGGGAACGTAAAGGAATAATAAAAAGAAAATTTTAACTAATTATCTTCTATTCGCTCGTTAATTCAGAATTGTAAGTTTTCTCTAACACGTTGCTTCTTCCCCTCTCCCTCTTTCTTCTTCTTTTTTCTGTGTTCCAGTTTTAAATACAATCAATGAGCTATACAGTATGTTGAACATACAAAAACAAGCTATTGAAAGTTTAATGCGACAGGTAAACCTTATTTCATTTTATGATTTCATGTATGTGTGAAATCTGTGTGTGCGTATTTGTAGCGGTGAGGTGATTAGTGCTCACTTCTCTTCATTTTTTGTTTTGTTCCAAGTGGAATTTAGATCTTCAGGCTTGAGGCAGTGTAATTTCATTAGCTATGGTAATAATTTTAACGAGGAGAGGTTTAGTCTCATGCTAACTGAACCTCCTCGCTTTTCCAAGCTTAGTAAGGTTATGGTATTAGATGTTTGGAGGCAATCGACATGAAGCCTTGGACACCACCTAGGTTTCGTGCTAGTCGGCACTCATCAGTCAGCAGGACGTATCTGCAACCTTGAAGGAACTCATCTCGCTGCTGAGATTCAAACCTGCGTCACCCAGTTCTACCTGTAATCAGAGGCGTTACCATTGAGCTATTCAGGCTCGCGAGGTTGCAGATACATACGCCTTGCTGACTGGTGAGTGCTAACTAGCACGAAACCTAGGTGGTATCCAAGGCTTCCTACCGATTGTCTCCAACCGTCTTATACCAACAATTCACAGTGCACCATGATGGCGAGCCACCTGGTGGCATGGTGGCCACATTGCAAGCTTGACTGATAGAATTCAGTCTGCAACGAAGATAGAACTAGACACATAACACTAATTACTGACTAGTGTTCAATCAAAAATTAGTATAGGTCAATAAACTAGCCAAGGTTTAGGAGTGAATTGGCCGAGGATCAAACCCAGGGATCTTAGGTATGGATGACATGCGCTTTACCACTGAACCGACTATGCTCTACAATGTCAAAATACAACACATTAGAAGTTAATTTCGAATTTATGTATTCCTTTATTTGTGAACTGATGTATTGCCTGGTTAAAGATAGCCAACAGAAAGCTTTGAACATAGGTGTCATGTATGCGTACACCTTAAGAAGGAACTAATGCTAGCTCGGAGATTCGATCCTGCATTACCTAAAGGGAGTAGTCGGAGTCAGTACCAATGTGCTATTCAGGCTGACAAATGACCTCCTGGATATACTGATTGGTCACTATGGAGTAACCTACCTTATTAGTCTAATCTCCAGTCTCAGCGAATTCCTGGATGTCTTGGCATCTTGGTGTACTTAGTTTTCATGCCAAATCTACAGGAAACTCCTGAAATTAGGTCCCATGCTTATTCATACTCATCAAATGGGTGCATCTAAGGCGTTGACAGGAATTATACTATTTTTATCAAGGATTTGATACTTTTGCTTACGACACACCTTTCCCTATATGTGTAAGGTCAAATACAGTTAATTTTCATAGCTTCACAGAAACCATCTTAGAACGCAGTTGTTTTATTGATAGCTCAAGCATTCTGTTTATTTTTGTAGTTCTAAGTAGAGCGAGAATGCATTAAGATGTAGAATTATTGAGTGACAGAAGACCCTGAAAATTCCGCTAGAGAATATATGGATTTCTACTCATATAACTATGTTACTAATACCACTGAACCTTGACTGTCATCGCTTGATAAGCACAGACAAAATCTTGCAGTGGTGATCTCTCTGATTTCAGCATTGCATAAGGCGGATTAGAATTCCTGAGAGGACATTAGTCTCTGGAAGATTGCAGATAAGCCTTAATGATAAGTGATAACAAGCGTAAGATATAATTTCAGGACTTTCTATCAACTGCCCGCAACCAGCTAACATCACTACAAAGTGCATTTCGATGACTAGTCACACTACAAAAGTGACTGATAGAATTCAGTCAGGAAAATCACTAAGGAATAGATGTGACCACTAGCCAATATCATCAGCGAGTATCGTGAAATGACAGAAGTTGGAATACATGAATCCATTGGATCACGCCCCAGTGGGTGCGTACTACTGAAGAGTTCCAAACTAGGCTGACGAAACAGCTGTCCAGTACTCCCTGGTGGTTTTCCAATGGTTCTCTAACCAATGTCAGCTCACGGTGAAATCCTGTAATCAATCAAATTCCTTACAAACCAACACTTGAACAGATATAAATTACTGACATTCGAGTGTCGACTTAGTATCATATAGCTGGAACATCTCATCCTGTTCACCATCCCAACATGCCGAAATTTATAAAGTTCCACGGACTCAAACACCAAGATTTTGACTTTATAATCAAACCAGTACACTGAAGAAGTGTTAGGCATTCAATGGAAACACGCTGCTGCTTTAAATCGAGAATAAATCGACTGAATGCAGCCATTTTAGTGTTGGTTAAGGTATGAAATGCAGAAAAAATCAGAATCTAAGGAGGGAAAACAGCTAGCTTCCTGTGGGACTTTGAGGCGGAGACTGAGTTGGTTATATATAGTACTGCTCAGTAGTGGGGCGATTCGACAGCCACATAAGCTGTCACTCCTTCATTCAAGATTCTTTTTGAAACTATCTCATAATATACTACTTACAAATTTTAATCGTCAGTAAGCACAGTTTGATAAATATATATTCACGTAAGCTTTCAATGTATTTGAATTTATAGGTATCTGAATTAAACATGAAAGTTGCATCTCGTGAACAATGTCTTTGTATTCCAAATTGTGGAAAATCCGCGCATGGTATACCCTATTTGATTGGCAATACATGGAAACCTGATGCATGCAGTCAATGTGAATGTACTGTGAGTGATTTTGAATGTAAAAAACTTTTGAATATTTTTATTCTCGTGAGTAAATTATGTAACACATAAAGTCACAATGAAAAAAATCCAATGTAGATCTTGTCACGAATTGACAACAGTCAGTGACTTCCGGCCCAAGTGGCTGAATGGTCAGTGAGTCTGGTTTCGTGACCTAAATATTGCAAATTCGGTCCCTTGTGGGGTCGTGGGTGCTCTTTTCTGAAGATTTCCAGAATAAGATGGAACAGCTGTCCTATTTTCCCTGGTTTACGATGCTTCTCTGTCTGATATTGGTTCTTGACGGAAATCTGACAATTGAAAGTAATCCAAAGTCCCCACAAATCTTATGCTGTCAAGGAACTTAACCCTAAGTTCCTATGACATGCGTAGACACTCCAAATCGATAATTACTGTGAACGATTATCGACTTTAACTCCAAAACACAAGGACTTGTTTTAAGTTGTACTGTTCGGCAATTAAAATCGATATCGATACAAGGTCTATAAACAAATGTTTTACAAGGAATGTATTGTACTTTTATTCGTATTCTTTCGTCTTCTTCCAAATTGTACACGACTGAATCATTCGTGCCTTCCAGTTGCTCGCCGACGGCGACCAAGGTCAATGAACCAACGTTCAATGTTCACATTCATTTACACTCCCCGGCAAAAAAGGTCCATCCTTTTTTCCCATCATGGCGATAACCTTGAACTGAACTGCCAACGCGGGAACCTGGGCCAACCGGGACTAGGCTAAAATGGAAAAACAAGACAAAAAAGCCCAACACGCAACAAGCATACCACAACCCCACCAGTACGCTCTCCCCGGCGTGTAGGATCTTCCTCAGTGATCGGAACTCCATTCGCTCTCTGTCGACAGTACCACCACTGGTCTGGTCCTCGAGGTGTTGGTTGCTTCAAGTCACTCTGGCACTCTCCCCCTCCCCGGCGTATCAAATCGCGTACAATGACTCTAACACCACTCGATTTGTTCACAATTGTAGAAGACTAGAAACGACTTCAAAAGTACTTACAATAACATTACAAGATGATTCGCACAATGCAACAACTGTAAAATTAACCAACAATTAGATGAATTGGAGCCCACTCTAGTACTTAACACAAATATATGTACAATCAATATATCGAATGTTGTGGATTCTGCCTTCACGAGCTACCCTTGAAGAATTGTAGGACTTACAGCAGTACGCCTACAACCCTTCTCAGGTTGACGCCCTAGGTTGGAAAATCGTCGCAGAGTTCATTTGCTGACCTCCTTCTATCATCTATATACTCAACTCTGAATGCTGACACGCCCATGACATTGTATCGTGGAATGCAGATGATTAACAAACATACGACGTATCACACAGCAGTTGGATTCACCCATATCAGTGCAAAGTGGATGGACACCCCTCATCACGCCAGTGACTTGAATAACAGTCTTCAATGTTTAAATATTTAGATCTATACACTTTGAAGTAAATCATTTCAGCAGAAATCACACGGAGATGGAATTTAATACTTGTCACTCAGTGATTATGACTTGTGTAATCCATAGATGTCGTAATCGATACCTCTTCAAATAACTATCCAATTTACTTCTAATAGAATAGCATTCTTAAATTTGTCTTCAAATAATCCATTCCTCGTTTCTTCTTCTCCTTGAATAGTTGGCAGGTGCGTTATGTACTCAGAAAAAGTGCCCCATACTGAATTGTACAAATTCTATTAGAATACAGGATGAATGCTGTCCGCATTGCCCAGGTAAGAAAAAATGCATAGATGTACAGTTTTTGTTTTGCCTGCTCTTTACTCTTCATAATAACAATGTTACCGATATATTGAATGAAATGGAGACATGATCGATCGGATTAGAACTGGAAGTTTCCAGTTCTGTATGAAATAAGCTAGGAAAACGAGAATTTTAAATATTTCATTCTCTCATCAAGGATCGTATCAAGCTGTCACGTGTTTAGATGATACCTAACTGTCCATTTAAGAAATCTTTTCATCATTTCCTGAACGACCTCTACGTGTTCGTCGGTGGCACAGCGATAGAATGTTCACCAACTACGCCGCATGTGGTTTGGGGTTCGACCCCGGCCTACGAGACACTTCTTTACCTCGCTAAGCCAGTAATAAGAATGGTAAAGAGGGAAGGTTGGACACGAGGTGGCTAGCAACCCCATCCCGCAAAAATAAACACACAACTGCTACCGAAACTTCAAGCCTCTAGCTTGAAGCAGCCCTATGTTCCACTGGGAACATAAAGGAATAAAAAGAATACCTCTAGGCAGAGAATCATTGAAAATCAAAGATCGCTGGATGCATTGCCCCACCCACCTGCTATTAAACCCAGAGTCTTCAGGTTATTAGGCGAGTTTGTTTATCATTCAGCCATTGTGTTAGAATCCGGTGGCCGTTACATGAATTCGAACCTCTCCCAATTCACAATATGCAGTACAAGCATCAGACTAATTCCCGATTTTTAGTCTGTAGGGATTTGATTGGTCCAAAGTGGGATCACTGTTTGGTATCAGTTAGAGAAGTATTGCAAACTAGGGACCATAGGTCATTTTGTTTCATCCTTGTTTGAGATCCCTTAGAAGTACACATCCATGGTCCCACCAGAGGTCTTAATATCATGCCGAATCAGAAGAGAAACATTATTTTAGATTATGACGAAACCAGTCAAGATGATCTCAAACTTTGAAACGGTGACTGATGTATTCTTCGATAACCAAAGTGATACAGATGGTAACCATGTTAATTAGTGGGTCCCTTGGTTATTTAGACAATATTCTGGACTAGTCTGCAATGTGCTTGCCATACCAGGTGGCTTGCCATCGTGCTGCACTCTAAATTAACGTGAGATGGTTGAAAGCAGTCATCAGGAAGACCTGCTTGACCTAGGTTTTCTTGCTTGTTGGTACTCGATAGCAAGGCACATCTTCATACCTAAAGGAAGTGATGTTCCCCTCCCCGGGATTCAGACCCGTAACATTCAGTGATGCAGTTGTAGACATCACTAAGGAGCTTTTAAGGCTAACGACTGGCCATTTTTAGGACTGTAATGCGCACATTGACTGATCAGTAGAGAGCAGCCAATATCATGCTTATTGCCTTCAACCATTTAACAATCTGGTCAGTTTTCTATAGTTTGCTTTGTAAGGGTCAGTTATGTTTTTACGAGTTGATCAGGGACTGATATCAGTTAGAGAACTATTGAAAACCAGCAAGTAGTACTGGACAGCAGTACCCTAACCTGGGATTCGAACCCAGAACCTTCCAGTTACAAGGCAAGCTCGTATGCCATTCAGCCACCGAGACCCGATTCAATGGCAAGCCCATGAATTCTAACTTCTACCAATTCATGATTTAGCACGACCCCAACCACTGTCGTAGGTGGGACATCCATCCACACACATGACATCTGTGTGGACCTCACTGATCACGACATCTCACTTGAACTGCAGGAAACTCCATTCTGTAGGAATTCACTAGCGAGCATCAGATTAATTTTCTACAGTTTGGTTTGTAAGGGTTAGTTACGTTTTTTTTAATCGGGTCCCATTTGCTGAATGGCATACGAGCTTGCCTTGTAACGGGAAGGTTCTGGGTTCGAATCCCAGTGGGTGCGTTTTTCCCATGATTCCCAAACTAGGTTGGAGGAAACAGCTGTCCAGTACTCCTTGCTGGTTTTCAATAGCTCTCTAACTGATATCAGTCCCTGATCAACTCGTAAAAATCTGATCACTATTTGCAAACCCACTGAAGTGTAGAAACACCAATTAGTCTAGTAGGATTGATTACACACTTAGCGCGATACAATCTACATCAAAATGTCAAACGTATAAACTTTTATCCGATAAAAAAACGTGAGGGAATATATATTTGTTGGATTAAAACAAAGTTCACATCAACTTATCAGCTGTCTATAAATTACACAAGTTATTATAAATAAATATTAATTATATAACATACTTCGAAATTTTTTCAAATTGAAGGGTAATTAATAATCATTAATGTAGTACAAGGGAATAGAAGGCATAAATACAGATTAGTTAGTAGCGATATTATCAAACAGTCAGATGAAAATTTCCATGATCACGAGGACAAGAAAGAGGTTAAAAAAAGCTACAGTGAACAGATATGGTTAGTCAGAGTAAATGTCATTGTGGTTTACGTAATGAATTAGCATCAGTTAAGGAAGCATTTGAAACCAGGGACAGGTGGAGAGCTGTTTTGTCCTAGTTCGAGACTCTTCCCTAGTACGCACTCATGACCCTACTAGGAATAGAACCCTGTCCCTTTGGTTAACGATGTGAGTCTGTTCACTATTCAACCACTTGTGACAGAACTCAGTAGCCTGACATGACATGATGGATTCTGACAACTGGTATCTACTTCTCACATTACGACTTCAGGACATTCATCTCACAGGAGTCGATGAGCCGAAGATTTATTGTAGGAATTCAGAATAATTTCAATGCATATTCCATAAGTTATTACAGAAATAATCAAACAAATAAATGAGTGCAACTCAGTAAGTGAAACTGTGGGGGCAACGAAAGTACAAATAGATCGAGTTACTGAAGGACTGGTAGTCACACACACTGTATTTAGGTGTGTAGAGGTTACATTGTAATTCTTTATCTGAAGTGACATCTGACAGATGTCGTAAGTATAGTATCACTGTGTATACTGACCATGATGAAGGCTTCATTGATCTCAGCTGTATACCCTGTACAGATCAGTTGCTTATCGTTTGCACTCGTAAACACTTCCTTACCTAGCAGGCTTAGATGACATGGAATGTAAATGTGCTCGTTCCTGCCTTGTTCAAACTAATCAACAGAGCGCAATCCATGAAATTCTCTCTAATAAGTTTCTTGAAGTCGATTTCCATAAACAATGGGACAAAAAGATTTCACTGAATGACAAAAATGACGTTATGAATTCATCAACAGTTCAAAAAATTTGTCACTTAAGAAGGTAGAATTCAAGCAGCACCACTAAACACTTGACATACGACACTGATCATACACAGGTGAACAGTCCCTGTCCAACCACAATCCTGAAGAGGGTCAGTTGCGAATAACTCAGTGATAATATCTGTAACTTCACTAACGAGTAGTGTAGACATGAACGAACCCCAATCTCTTCGACCTTGCAGAAACGACTTGTTGACGAATGCTTAAAAGCTTAACGAGGTCACAAATTTCTGTCGATTACGTCTAGCCAGATAGTATCATTTCAAAGTTCACCATAGTGGCAGTCAACATAAGAAATCGACTGATAGAAGGCAAGCTCAAAGAAATCAGAACTACACACAGATATGCAGAAAGACATTCATTATATGCAGGAAAAAACCACCGAGAATGCCGAAGAATCTTCCAGTGATTGGTTTGCAGGAGTTTGATCGGTTATAGGTCTGATCACGAGCTGATGTAAACTAAAGAACTATTTGAAAGCGAGGAAGTACTGGAGAACCGTTTCGTCCAAGTTTGGGGCTCTTCATCAGTACATACCCACAGGGATTCGAACCCAGGAACTTCTTTTTGCAAGGCAAGCTTGTAGACCTTTCAGACACTGGAACTCGATCCACTGGTCATCGAATGGCGTACGAGCTCGCTTTTTAACTTGGAGGTCCTGGCTTCCAGCCCCTGTATGTGGGTAGCACTGAAGAATCCCATACTTGAACGGAACGGCTATCCAGTACTCCTTAGCTTTCCAATAGTCCTTTAATTGACAACACCTTGTGACCAAACATAATGCCAGGGAATCGCAAGAATCCTAGTACGCTGTTAAATCCAAATACTTTAAGAGCAGAAGCTGTAGCTTACATGGTGAAGTACTCGGAAAAATCTTGTTTGGATATTCTATTAAAGAAGGTTGGATTATTTTAAACAACTATGTTTTTAAAGGGTCGCCTTAAATTATTACATTATCTAAAAAAATTTAATTAATGGAAACTGTTCCTTCTTTGTTTTATGTCTTTCATGTTTAGCTAACTGTCATTTTATGGGTCAAGTATATCCTCATGGAGAAAGTTTAATGCGAGGTTGTATTCAATGTGTATGCGTGGTAAGCTGAACTGTGTATTTCCCGCCATAGGCGGTCTGTTTTGAATCGCTGCGCTACCTAAATTTTCATTTAGTATAATATTCTCTATTTCATACTGTTTTAATCGTCTTATTATGCTTTTTTGATAGCAATGTCAACTAGCGTATATTTTTAGTTTACTGTCAACGTAATGTGGAGCATATCCCATCAATAGAAATGAAGAAGCAATGTCTAAGAGGGTTGGATATTGCTTTAGATGGAACAACACAGCACCACACGAAGTACTGTCGAATAGAATATTGATTGGTTGGAGGATTTCATCATTAGCTGAAATCAGTTAAAGAACCATTGGAAAACCCGGGAGTACTGTACAGCCGTTTCGTTAGCCTAGTTTGGGACTCTTCATCAGTATGCACCCATCCTACATAAACCAGTACTTGAAAATTGATCTTATACTCACTAGAGACTAGCCCCATTAAGGTAGGCAGTTGCCTGGGGTTCTAGTGGGAAGCCGTGACCAGTAGCGTACAGCAGGTCGAAAGTGAGAAAGTAACTAATCGAAGAATATATTGCGAAGTGGTAGCGCTATGTCATGAGTGAATTTGCAGAAGTTAGAATTCATAAGCCACTGCACTGGGTCCCAGTGGCTTAATGGTCTACGAGCTCGCAAGCCTGGTAACCAGAAGGTCCTGAGCTCTACTCCCATGCTTTGGGCGCGTACTGCTGAAGAGTCCCAAACTCTTCTGACGAAACAGTCGCCTTTCCAGGACACGTGGCATTGTCATATAGACTTGAAGTATGCCATAGTGTTGAAGTAGTTTCCAAATTACTTCTCGATCTACGCTGAGCTGTTGAAGGCCTTCTCGAAGTCGATGAAGTTGAGGTATATGTTTGACTGCTATTCTATGCTTTGTTCGACGACGATGCGTAGAGTTGCAATTTGATCAACACATGGTTTGCCTTTCCTGAATCCAGTTTGTTCCGTTCTGGCGGAGTTCTGTATCCAGTGCATCCTTTATTCCCTTCAGGATAATTACGAATGTATCATCAACATACTTTGCCTAAAACCTAGTTTGTTTTTTCGGTTGTGACGTCAATTGGCACGAAAATTTAGTACAGGGATTCCTGTCAGCCGTCACCATGTCATTTCATTCGCCTCCTACTCTATCTCTGTCATTTTACACTGGATTGAGGTTAAGGATTCCCGAAAGTCTAAGTCCCATTTTTATCCTGCTATTTTCATCAATGTATACCATGCGGTGTTGATATGATAGGTAGAACATCTGCGCGACGTTTAGTTACATAAGGCCGTGTATCACTCTTATCAAATCATCATTATTTATTACGGATCTAAAACAATTTAGAGTGGAAACAGTAAAATCGGTGCCTACAGCTACCTTGTTTCTGTCAAAGCATAAAAAGATTTCACGTGTACAACATCTCAAAGTGTATCCCTAATTCGTACAGACATTTTTACGAAAATTACTCAACTTTCCTACCTAACAGTCTAATCTGGGTTTTTTCCCTTATCTTGTAATATTTTTTTAGAACGGTACAATGAAATGTCGTGAAATCAACCAAACTTTATACTGTCCACCACTGAATTGCAGTCAAAGTGAACAAATTCAACCAGCTGATAGCTGCTGTAAAATATGTGGTAGTAAGTTTTGCTGTGATTAATAAACACAGAAACTATTGATTTTGTAGGGAATTTTGTTTGTTTGATTGGTTGGAGGATTTCATCATGAGCTGGTTTCAGTTCGGGAACCATGAGAAAACCACCTGGGAGTACTGGACAACTGTTTCGTCAACCTGGTCTGGGACTCTCCATCAGTACGCATCATCTGCCAGGGTTCGAACCGACGACCTTCTGGTTACAAGGCGTGCAGGGTTGAAAGTTGAAGCAGGTTGAAGGTGAGGCAGCAACTCAACGAAGAAGACATTGTGAAGTGGTTGCCCTATGTCATGAATTGGCAGAAGTTTGAAATCATGGGCCATTGCATTGGGTTCCAGTGGCTTAATGGTCTACGAGCTCGCTAGCCTTGTGACAAGAAGGTCTTGAGTTCAAACCCTAATGCTGGGTACATACTGCTGAAGAGTCCCAAATCAGGTTGGCGAAACAGCTGTCCAATCTTCCCTGGTGGCTTTCCAGTGGTTCTCTAACTGATGTCAGCTCATGATGAAATCCTTCAACCAATCAAATATACGAAGATTTAATGAGGCTGGTATTAAGCCTGTGAGATTCAAACGTTTTCTATCGGGTTTTAAATATCAGTAGAGACGTCATTATTGACTTTGATTTCTTGGTGCTATTCTACTGAAGATGAAACCTAGACAAGTACTGAGACGTCAGCAGTAACGAAAATCTTTCTACCGAAATTATTCCAAAATCCCCAAAACCCTGTTAATCTCAATATCAATTGCCAGCTCACTGATGGCTACTGAATGAATTTCCTGAAGTTGCAGTGAAAAGTTGTGGCCACTGGTGCCCATCATGTCAAGGTAAAGCGGATGCTCACTGAAGGTGAGTGGTGGGGGCAGCGCTACAACAGTAGTTGATAAAGCTAAAATTCAGGGTTCATTTGATGGTAGATCAGCCTTGCTTCGCAACCTGAAGGTCTCAGGCTCTACCCCTAGCAAGATGGGTGGTGGGTGCACACTGTTTAAGAATCCCAAAATAGGCCGGAATGGCCTTCCAGGGATCCCTATTTTTCAATGAAATAGATATTGCACGCAAGCCAGCCAGCACAATCACTTCATTCGATAATGTGCAAACCGAAAGATCCAACAGAAAATGAAGATAAAATCAATACCACTTACAAAATAAATTGTACGAACTGTAATAGACATTACATTGGTCAAAGTGGGCGTCCCCTTCAAATCAGAATACAAGAACACAAATTGGCGGTAAAAAGACGTTACATATATATATATATATATTCCTTCGTATCAATGCATGTAGATAATCATGGACACCAATTTGATTGAGAGAATGTGGAAATTCCAAATAGAGGAAACATCAAAAGTGTGGTCAAGGAATTCCTAGATGCCTGGTACTCAAATGTTTCAACCAGCGATTAACAAACATATTAATATAGACCAAATCTATCATCTTATAAAAAGTAAATCATGTGACGAGAAAGTTCAAATTTGATCAATACAGATGTAAATCGACTACTAGTCACGAAGATGGTTACCAGGAAACACAATTCTATCATTCATGGGGAATTTAGATCAGTTCATTTTATGCTAAGACTTGCACTGAAGGAAGATGTTGTCTAGAAGGAGGACGAGGAAAGCTTCGTAATTAAACCATCGTCCAGCTCAGAGAACACAACCAATTGCAAATCATCCATCTGAGCAACAACGACCTCTCTAACTGATGTTGGTATGGGACGACAATGTAACAATTGATAATAGTATTAATAATAATAATTTGACAAAATCCAACAACCTTACAGTGAAACTCCATTTTTCCTAAAGTATTCGCCTGTTCTGCTTCTTTTGCCTTCATTATACGCTTTCCTTATTAATTTACCATCTCGTCTGATTTAAACCGTCGTCCTATTGTTCAACATTCTTGCAGAAGGCGAGACACAACATACTACCTAAAAATTCTTTTCAGTAACACATGTCACGTTATTAAAAGAAATCGAATCCATCATTCTCTTGCCGCACTTTACATAATAATGCATGTAATCAGTAATTATTATTCATTCAGTGGTACATCTCCATTCCAGCTGATTCTCTGTCGTTGCTTTCTAGTGGCTCCACAACTGCCTATTGGGTTTCGTTTCCTCTTCACATGACCCCCTCTATGTCACCTTCCACTCAAGTTTCACTAGACGGGCTGCTGTGTAATATCTCCTGATGGTTTCTTCCAGTGCATATCCACTTCATCCCCATTTCCTTCCCTGAATTCATCAGGAAATACGTTGCTGGCTAGATTATTCTATCCATTATTGAGCCACGGCCAATGTTGATGAAAATTCTCAGCCTAACAGATATGCTTTTCAAGAGGCACACGCCAATTCTGTGAACCATTTAGAAACGCTGAATTAATACTGTTAAAAAAAATAAATATTTGGATCTTCTCCGATGTATTAAATGTTGTTGATCTCCACACTGATCTCAGAGTAATGAACTCCTATTTTACTTTTCCGATCATGAGTAGCATTGTCAACCTCATCCATACTGACTGTCGTTAAAATGATATAACTAAGTTGGGTAGAAAAGTTGAATTCCTTTGGACTTCTCACACTACGCTGGTGATCGCTGTTTGTTTCTGTTGGTTGGGTGTTTCAATATGTTCCATCCTTCTGTACTGACTACATCCGCTGACAATCTGTTGATTTTTCCTTATAAGACATGAGACACAGATCATCTGTAGAGGCCTACAACTTAGGCTACAGTTTTCTTGAGATGTGTATTATTAGGCACTGCAGACTACCTCATCTTTCAGCCATTCATTGGTTAGCAATATTCATTCAAATGATCTGAGTAGGCTCGTTTTAACTTAAGGGATCACAGATTGAGGATATCAAAGCTAGTCAGAATTAAAATCAGTGTGGAAATCTACGGCATTTAACATAAGGAACAAAATTCGAATTTTCAACACTTCTACGGGATGCAGAGATTTGGCGGACACATTACGAAAAGAATTACCAAATGACTTACATTATTGGTCACTTTCCATGCATAATTAAGACCGGATGATCGGCTGGCCAGAACGCATCAGCAAAGAGGAACTCTTGACTATATTAGAAGGTTGGAGGCAATCGGCAGGAAGCCGCGCCTAACCTAGATTTCGTGCTATTTGGCATTCACCATTCAGCAAGGCGTATCTGCAACCTTGAAGGAACTCATTTCCCTGATAACCGATTGCCTCCAACCATCTGATATTAATAATTCAGTGTGTACCGTGATGGCGAGCTACCTAGAATTTTGGCCACATTGCAAACCTAAGTGATAGAATTCAGTCTGCATCAAAGAAAGGACTAGACACATTACACTAGGCACTGAATAGCGTCTTATCAAAACAAAGCGAAACTGTAATAGGCAGTGAACCAATCAAGATCCTTCTGCCCCACAAATATGCTGAAGGAATCGGAGATGGGCTGGGTACACTCTGAGGAGGCCAATGAGTGACGCTGCGCACCAGTCAGGACACCAAGCGGATCCCGAATCGGATATGATTAGCTGGGCGACACTTCGAAGGTGATATGGAGTATATAGTGAGAGGAGGAAATAAAACCCTGTGGGCAATCGTACAATCAGCTAACAAGGAATTCAGAGGGCACGGTGAAATATGGATGTGGTATTGAAGCCGTATATTCCACTTGGAGTCACAAGTGAAGAATAATAATCTTTTGGGGGGCGGACTATCAGCAACTTCTTATGTACTCAACAGAAAGGTTATAGATTGCCAAAGAGATACTAGCTAGTCTAATCATTAGAATTTAATTTGCGCTTATGACAATGATAACCTTTCAGCAACCAGTTATTATTCACATTTATTCATAATTACTAATGTATATTTTTTTCTCTCTAAATTTCACCTCAGAGATTAACGTTTGTGCACACAAACATAATAAATGTCATCCATTGGCAAAATGTATCCCAAATGGTATGACATATCGTTGTGAATGTCCAAATGGTTATTCCGGATCTGGTGATCTTATCACTGGCTGTACACGTAAGTTAAACTGGATTAATTGTGAGTTTATCTTTCGTAATCTCATCGGCTGGGATTGCATGAAATGCATATGAAATAAACTTAAGTTAACTGACTCTATTCGACTGATATTTAATATATAACTGGTCTAGCTTCTCATCAGTACCTTTACAATAGTATGTAAAGCTTCTTTTAATAACCCAAGCTGAAATTATGCCCAAATAAATGTCACTTTCAGAGTCTGGAGTGGTTAGACAGTAATTTCAGAAGCAAGAATGAAATCAGATCAATTGCAGTTGCATTCATTTTTATAGACTCCATCAAAAGAGAGTATGAGTACTTTTGAAATTGAATTATATACCATAAGAAAAGATTTAATATTGATTCCTGGTTTGATTTTTTCAAGAGCTGGGATGATATTCATTTATCCTGTCACCCTGTTGCTGGAGTTATCGGTTTGTAAAGCTGATGAATCTGTCTGAAGACAGTTACTCAACAAAGACATTGCTAAGTGGTTGCGCTGCTTCGTAAATTGGCAGAAGTTAGAATTCATGACCTGGCCATTGAATTGGGTCCCAGTGGCTTAATAGTCCACGAGCTAGCTCGTTGGCCCTGTAACCAGAAGGTCCTGTGTTTGAACCCCTCAGTGTGGGTGCGTAATGCTGAAGAGTCCCAGACCAGGTTGACCATATAGCTGTCCATTACCCCATGTTAGTTTTCCAATGTTAGCTGATGATGAAATCCTCCAGCCAATCAAAATATTTACAAGACAAATTGCATTGCTGGGTGACTTCGACTGAGATAGTTAAGACATGTGCTACGTATGCCTAGTCACCGCCTTCCTCGAAGGGCAATGTTAGCTGATATAGGGCCAGACTGGAAAAGAGCTAGCGGCGGTCAAACGAAAACATGGCAACAGTCAATGAAATCCACAACGGTTAGTCTAAGCCACGTAGGAAGGTGTAGACTTCCTGGTTGGGGTCTTCGGGACGGTAAAAACCAATGGTTGAAAACAAATGGTGATATGGCTCAAAATCGTTGTCAATGACTGGTGCAGATGCATCCACTCCTTGTGACTTATGATTTCCAATTAAACTGTTTTGTTCTTCGTTATTACTACTCCTTTGTCTCACATCTCTGTTTACTGACTATATTAAGCATTTCTTCTCTTGCTTCGTGTGCTACATGGAGTGTGGTGACTTGAACTGCTGCACATATGTGCAAAGTTCTATGTCGAAAACCGACCGACCAACCGATATTCAATATGTAACTGGTCTAGCCTGTCATCAGTACCTGTACAATAGTATTTAAAGCTTCTTTTAATAACCCAAGCTGAAATTATGCCCAAATAAATATCATTTGAGAGAGTAGGAGCACGTTTGAAATTGAATTATATACCATAAGAAAAGATATAACATTAATTCCTAGTTTGATTTTTTCAAGAACTGGGATGGTATTCATTTATCCTGTCACCCTGTTGCTGGAGTTATCGGTTTGTAAAGCTGGTGAATCTGTCTGAAGACAGTTACTCAACGAAGATATTGTGAATTGGTCGCACTGTGTTGTGAATTGGCAGAAGTTAGAATTCATGGGCTGGTCATTGGATCGGGTCCCAGTGGCTTCATGGTCTACGAGTTAGCTCGTTGGTCCTGTAACCAGAAGGTCCTATGTTCGAACCCTGCAGTGTGGGTGCGTACTGCTGAAGAGTCCCGAACTAGGACAACAAAACAGCTGGCTGTCCAATGCTTCCTGGCTGGTTTTCCAATGGTGCTCTAACGGACGTCAACTCATAGTGGAATCTTGCAACTAATCCTTAATAGTTATTTCAGGTCGCCTAGGTTCCCAACACATAGGAATTCAGCATGAATAACATTCATTAAGTATGAGTGAATGTTTCAGTCATGAGAATAAAAAATTCTCAATTTACTAATTATGAAGTTAGAGGTAAGAATTTGCCGTGGTTCCCTTTTTGAAAAACTAGAATATTCACATTACAATTCATTATATGTTTGATACATGTTCATGCTACATTGTAAAATAAAACGAAAACAAGATGGTGGGTTAGATACTAGTTTAAACGACTAATACTTTGTCTACTACCTAGTACGTTTTGACGAGTCTGGTTATTGTACTGTTCGTTCGTCTATTAGGTGGTTTATTGGTTTATATAGAATGGTTGGTTTATTAACCCTCTGTCCAGTGGTTCCTGAAAATGAAAATGTATGTTTGCCAACCAGCAGTGTCTGGCTCGAGTGTAAACTTATCGTAGATCTTGCGCCCTAACGATTCAGTGCAAGTCACTACACTTCATGGTCAGAAGAGAAATCAGAGGGAAATAAATTTGCCAGGCCTAATGTCACATTGTGTGCGTAGTAATGGAACAATCAAAGTTTTAGAGGTATAATGTGAATAGAGCTCATTCCCTCAAAATTAGTAGGTATTATTTCCTGAAATACGAACTAGACTCTGGCAAGAGCTAATTTACCAGAATGATTGGTTGATGCAGTCTCTTATACCTACCATTCTCTGATTACATTCAAATTAATCTTAGCGCATCAAACATGGTAGGATAAAATGATTGGTAAGTCAGTATGTAACACGTCACGTTCACATGCACTTCAAATACATAACCTCTTTGTTCGCTAATTTTTATTTTCTAAAAATTCCACCTACTTTTATTATCATCTTTCCGGGGATAAATATAGTCAACTGTGCGTCAGTGGCACAGCAGTAGAATGCTTGCCAACCAAGCCGCATGTGGTCCGGGGTTCGATTCCCGGCCTGAACCTCACTAAGACAGTAATAAGACTGGTAAAGAGATAAGGTTAGGCATGAGGCGGCTAGCAACTCCATCCCGTAAAAATAAATATCACTGCTACCGGAACTTCAGAGCTTTAGCTTGAAGCCCCCTATTTTCCACTGGGAAAGTAAAGGAATAAAAAAAATGTTTAGAAAACCAACACACTCTAGTACAAAATATTTAGCCTTTAATTCATCGAGTCCAGAATTGGTAAGGGAAAATAGGTTTAGTTAAACGTCCATATAATCGCGCCAGGAGCCCAACTAGTAAATCAGAAGATTTAAATAATGAAACCAAACAAATAAAGAAAATTTAACTGGTGGGTGGTGACTGGCGTTTGAATCCAGGATGCGCATTTCGTCCTATTTGGAACTCGTCCGGCATCTGGATGTACCTGCGTTTCCCAGTGAGTGATGATGTTCCCACCGGGGTTCGAACCAAGAGGGTGAAATTCGCATCCTGGATTTCACTGATAGTCACCATCCACCAATTAACTTTTAATTACATGCCCAGACATCGTCGAAGCATCTGCATAAGAGACCGACATGTCAACCTGAGACCGAGCACTTCGGTCCAGTCAATCGACGGGAAAATCTAAAATTCAATTAAAATTAAGGAAATATTACTATTGAATAACCAACCACCTGACTGCATTCAGAAATGTGTGAAGACCCATAGAAAAAATGAAATAAGTAATGAAAATAACAAAAATAATGTATAAGTCAAATCCTTTGAAGTACTGCCGTATACCGAAGGAACATCAAAGGCCTTACATAGGATTCTCAATTAGGCTGTAATTAGGGTGGCAGTTAAACCAGCCACCCACCTCTCTCAGAGATAAACTTTGTCGGTTTAAGGACCCAAAAGACCCAATTAAGAAAAATAATATAATTCACCAAATACCATGCAATTAATGACTTTGAGGTCAGTTACACAGGTCAGTCAAACTAGTAAATCGGGGTCAACTAGATTACCGGGAGATAAAAATTTAGCCAACGGTAGAATGGTTGACCATGCTAAATTAAATGACCTTGGAAAAAACTGTCACTGCATTGCATTCACCTGCAAGTAATCACAAATTACGGTTGGTGATACAGGGTGACAGCATTAAAAAGTAATACAGTTAGGTGAAGAGAGAATATGGTTAATCACTGAAGCTTTGTTTATCATTCCAACACCACACACATGCAATCGAAATGACGCAATGCTTATGCAGGAGATATGAGACATGGCAACAAAAAACAAGGGGAAGATAGAGGTAGAGATAAAGATAGAGAATGATTATGAGCAATAAATTCTGCTCAAAATGTCATCAAGTTATTAATATTGCATCACTGCGTGATATTTGAAATAAACATCATGGAATTACATTCTATGAAAGTTCTGAAGTTCTACAGTAACATTAGTTGGACATCTCTTATTCGGTTTTATGAGCTAAGTCAACTTAGACACGCCTCTGATGAGCTCAGCGTCAAATGAGCTAAACGGGCCTCTCATGTTCAGATCACTTCGATTTGTCTCGCTAACAATCGGCATTAATTTATGTGAGTGGTTTTAAACTATGCTTTTTACATTTCTTTGTGCTCCGAGTGTAGATTAGGTCATCTAGCTTCAAGTTTTGAAGTTTTATTGCCGCTGGTTTAGTTTTTATAGGGTAGGGATATAAGCCTTTCCTTCTAAACCTTCCCTCATTTCTGGGCCTACTATTGGCTAGGCAGTTTGGGAGGGAATCTAACTCCTACCTCTACTATATTTAGGCGGCTTGCTTGAATCGTAGGTTTACCTCAATTTCCACCTAACACTGATGAGGATATCAAAGCAAGGATAGGGAAAGCAAGACAAGCTTTCACTAGCATTATATTTTCTCTAATTCTTCTTTCCACCAACAGCAACAACAACAACAGACAACAATCAGCATAAATGGGAGGAACCTGAAAGAAACAACCTCCTTCACCCACCAAGCTGGGAAGCATCGTTTCAACTACAGGCGGAACTGACGAGGATATCAAAGCAAGAATTGGAAAAGCAAGACAAGCTTTCACTACTCTCTAGTCTGTGTGGAGGTCAACAACTCTCGGCATCAAAAATAACATCCGGGTTTTCAACTCCAATGTGAAGTCAGTGCTACTATACGGATGGATCAGAGACTTGGCGCGTCATAAAGAGCATCTCAAACAAACTACAGACCTTCATTAACAGTTTTCTTCGCTCAATACTCAAGATCAGATGGCCGGCCAGAAAAGATCAGCAACAGGGATCTCTGGGAGCGAACAAACCCAACAGGAACCCATTGTGAAACAAATAGGCAGGAAGAAACGGAGATGGATTGACTGGCCATACTCTGAGTAAACCATCAAGTGACATCACCAGACAAGCCATTGCTCGAGTGGAACCCGAAAGGGAAGCGGCGAGTTGGTCGTCAGTGCAAGGGTGACTTGGAGGAGGTCATGTGAAGAGGAGATGAAGGCATGTGGGCAGACATGGAGCCAGGTGATGACTCTAGCAGAGAACCGAACGCAATGAAGACGCACGGCTGAAGCCCTATGTTCCTCTAGATATTGAAGGATATAATAATAATAATTCTTATTAGCCTAACCGTTCAGTTATGTCTTTGAGTAACAAAATGTACTCGTGCATGTTGGATTTAACTGGCTTTCAAACTGTCAGCGAACGTTTTGCAGAGATAAAGAAAAATTATCGTAAGGGATTAGTCTACGATTCAGATCTAAAAGCACTGCGCTATGTGGTGTACTATAAACCACTACTGTACTCTCAGATCATGATTAGGGAGGGGAAATATTATATGCCATAAATTGTATTGAGAATTCTATACACTGCGTATATATTTTGTTCTGAATAAAAGCATTTATTATTATCATTATACAACCGACGTAAACGTTATAGCAGAATGATCTTTTTCATTGGAAAGTTTGACATGACGTGTTGACTATGAATTTGCATATTAATTTGTCAGTGTGAGGTGATGGTCATTGACTGACGTTGACTGAGTGTAAGAGTATGACGGGTTCATTGAAGATTTGGATGGAGTGCTGTGCACGTGAATAGTTCTATAAGTGATGTGTGAGACAAGTATTGACTGATGTCGTGCTGACGCATATATCTCTGTTGGTCTATGTATCCAATAGAGAGGGTGGATTAGGATTCGTTCCCGAAATCATTTACCACAGCCAGAAGTCGAACTTGGACTGACTGATTGGAAGAACCATAGAAAAACAAGGAGTAGTGGACAGCAATTTCGTCCCGGTCTTCGACTCTTCGGCAGTACACACTCATGGTATCGGCCACTGGAGATCCAATCCAGGACTTTTAGGTTACATACTGATTTCGTTGAACAAGCATTCACTTTCCTCGAACGTGTTCCTCAACATTTGATTTGGAATAAATAAAGTATGGGTGGATAAATGACCGCCGATGACGTTGGCCGCCGATATCCATGCTGAAAATTCCACACGTGTACTGAAAATACGGTGTGGAATCAAGCTGTAAATCAAAATAAAATAAAAATAAAAATAAATATTATGAATGGACAGAATTTAGAATTCATGAGCCATTTTATTCCATCCAAGTGCCTAAACAGTCAGCATACCGGCTTCATAATCCAAAAGACCTTTATTTGGTGCCCTTCAGTTTCCTGGGTGGGTATCACTAAAGAGTCACAGACTAGGACGAAACAGCTGTCCAATAATTTCTGTTTTTCACTGGTTCTATAACTGATGTCAGTTAATGGTGCTGAAATCTAACTTTTTCACATTTCCTATTTATACTTTACATTATTTGTATAAAACTTTATCAATGTCAGTTCCTTTCAACTTGATTTACAGCTGAATGTAGGAAAAATTGTTCCAGCCGTGGTGTCTGTATTTCACCGAACAAGTGTCAGTGTTATCCAGGATTTGGTGGCAGCGAATGTGATTATGGTAAGTAGATTATCTCTTAGTCATAATAAACTGATCTGATCTTGCCTGATCTCGCCGGCTGATCATGTTAATCTCTAGAAAGTATGGTATCACTCAGTCAGTTTCTACTTTTACAGTTTTTTTAATTCTTGTATTCCACCTATTTTTTTCTTCATTACTGCCCACTAGTCTTTTCTAGGCTATTTAAGAAAGACTTTATTATTAGAAGTTAATTGGTGGATGGTGACTAGCAGTAGAATCCAGGATAACGCAAATTTCATCTTATTTGGGACTCACCAACTGGATGTACCTGTATTCCCTAGCGAGTGATGTTGGTGGTGTTCCCACGGGGGCTAGAACCCAGTGTCTGTAATTTCAAACGCCAAAGCGTTATCCTTTAGACCACCTGGGTCACAACAGTCACCTCCTGTGCAACCGGTTTTAATAATTATTTAATTCAAGTTAAGATTTTCCAGTCGACTGACCGGACCGAAATGCTCGGTCTCAGGTTGACAAGTCAGCTCCTTGTGCAGATGCTTCGACGGCGTCTAGGCATGTAATTAGAAGTTAATTGGTGGATGATGACTATCAGAGTAGAAATGACTTCAGATTAATGAGGGTTTGTATTACCCTTCTGATCTTGGTTGGGTTTGATATCCTTATCCATGTCGCCTGTACTTGAAACGATGCTGGCTAATTCAGATAAGTGTATAAGGGAACTTCCCCTAGATTTTCATCCCTCTTAATGACTACTGGTGTTTACTGTTCTTCGTTAGAAGTCTTCATCACCTTTGTCTCCTCAGTATTCACTTGAGGTCTCGTCTTCACGACTTCTTCCCTCAAATCGCTGGTTTTCTCCTACAGATTATCAAGTTGATGTGCAACATCATACATAAATTATCCATGAGCTTCAAATATTCCAAAAACCTTCTCGTCAGTTAGACGGATTCATGTCTTCTAGCTCCTCATAGTCTGCAGCATAATCCAGTCCAACGCAGTCAGAAATTTGATCTTTATGATGATAGACAAACTTATCTTACCCCTGTCTTCACTTAGAAAGCGTCACTGAGTTTCCCGCTGCAGGTACGCATGAAATGAAATCTATGTCATTCTTTGACTATCTTTGACTAATAGCGAGATCCAGGAGAACGTTCATTTCGTCCTATTTTGGACCCGTTGATGGCTGGACACGCCTGTATTCCCCAGTGAGTAACTGATGGTGTTCCCAGCGAGACTCGAACCCAATGCCCATAGTTCCAAACGACAAAGTGTCGTGACATCCACCTCTTCTGCAACCGGTTTCAATAATTATTTAATTCAATTTAAGATTTTCCAGTCGACTTACTGGACCGAATCGTTCGGTTTCAGGTTGATGACAAGTTAGCTCCTTGTGCAGACGCCTCGACGATGTTTGTTCATGTTCTTTACCTGAAAGTGCATCTTTCACTATTCTATTTAATATTTTGTTCCTCAGTTAAAGTCTCGTAGGAAATGAAATTCCTACGGATATCAAAGCGAGAATCGGGAAAGCAAAGCAAGCTTTCATTAGTCTCAAGTTCGTGTGGAGATCAACACTCAGCACTCAGCATGGAAAACAAGATGCGGATTTTCAACACCAATGTGAAGTCAGTGCTGCTTATTATACGGATCAGATACTTGGCACCGCGCCGCATCATGAAGAGCACTTCGAACAAACTACACACCTTCATCAACAGCTAGCTGTCTTCGCTCAATACTACTCAAGATCAGATATCCTGCCAGAAAAGATCAGCCAAAGGGATCTCTGGGAAAGGACGAGCACAGCAGGAACCAATTGTGCAACAGATCTGCTGGAAGAAACAGAGGTGGATTGGAAATACTCTGAGAAAACCATCGAGTGACATCGCAAGACAGGCCGTTGCTCGAGTGGAACTCAAACGGGAAGCCGCGAGTTGGTCGTCAGTGCGAGGGTAACATTGAGGAAGTCATGCAAAGAGGAGATGAAAGCATGTAGGTAGACGTGGAGCCAGGTGAGAACGTTGGCAGAGAACCGAAAGCAATGGAGACGTGCGGCTGAAGTCCTATGTTCCTCTAGGAGCTAAAGGAAGCAATAATAATAATAGGAATGAAATCTGTAAAAATTTCATGAATACCTAAGATTTAGTAACATAACACTCATATTCTATTTATTGTATTTTAGATTTGAACGAATGTAACATGAGGTTGGACTTATGCTCCGAAAATTCAACCTGTCTTAATCTACCCGGTTCATATGCTTGTATATGTCATGATGGATTTGAACTAACCGCCTCAAGTCAAATAAACAAGTTAAATACAACTGAATCAATGAAATAATACTATTACTAATAATAGTGATGTGTCATATCGTCAGGAATTCGACAGTTCTACTGGACATATGTGTCAAAGTAAGTTGTCAGTTTTGTGTACACATCAGTTTCTACGTTGTCATTAATGCATATATATTTGAAGTTTGACATATATTTATCTACATGGATGAAATGGTAGATGATATACAGGTGTGGCATGGCCTACTGACAACATTCTTCAAGTAGTATATTATGTGAGCGTTATTCACAAATTGAGTGATCGGTTGAATGGCGAAGATAAGGAATGAAAGCTCCTTATCAAACCATCTAGAAAGCTTGAAAGGAAGTCGAAAGAAGCATATAACAAGATGAAGATATGCAAGTGGAGATTTATGGATTTCGACACATGTGTACATCAGTTTACCAAAGTGGGATTTCGTTAAACCAACTGGTTAACACCATTGTGGAGAGACATATAATGTCATGTAAGAAACTAGCGAATTCTATATTGTCAGACCCCGAACACCCTCTCTATACGCAGCTCTCTCCTTGCATTTCATCTGGTAGAACTAGAAGCAACTATAGGAGGCTAAATTTCAGGACTACCAAGTACAAAAACTCCACAATACCTTATCTGGCACAGCTGTTATGTGATGAGAAAACTGTTAGGTATGACACGATCAACTTACTGCGGCACTCTAACAAATAGTTCCCATTAGCTTTTGTTCTCCTTTCTTTGTTACTATTATATTGTTGCTCACATATTCTATTACAGACTAATTTATATTTCATATCCTGTGGTGCATTGTTTAAATGTGTGAATGCAACGCTGTTCTTTTTTTATTTCTTTTATTTCTCTTTTTTTCTTTTTGTTGTTGCTTTTTATTTTTAAAATCTTATAAAATTTATGAGGTAATTAGATGCAATATTGCAATGCACGCTGAAAATTCCATACCTGTACCACAAATACTGTTTGGAATGAAGCTATTATTATTCACATTAATTAGGCTATAAGAATATGTGAAAACGAGAAAGTTTTCCATGCATAGTTTTGTAACGACAGAAGTCAAGGACCAGGTAACACATAGTTTATTGAGGAAATCTACAGATATTTGTAGATTTTTATGTACATTACTATTCGTTATTGTTAGCAGCTAAGCAACCTCTTCTGATTGGTTGTTTTCTTGCTCAAGGTTATTTTGTACTGATTATGACCATTTCTTAGGAAGTTAAGCCATATATCTGCGAATTGAATTTGCACACGTTAAGTCTGCTGTGATTGGTTGGTGAGTTCCTCAAGGTTAAGCTCTCTTATTGCTTTTTCTCATGACCCTGATTCGGGACGTAAACATTTACGTCAATTGTTGTCTACAATTTTGGCTTGCAGACAGCTCTCACCACAGTATTATGAAAAAGATACTAAATGGAGAAGAAAACTACGACGCAGACAGTCAACATCAGGATGAATGGAATACACACGGAGGCTATTCAGATAGTCAATAAGTATCTGATTTATAGTGCAAGTCTAGGCGAAGCTACTGATGTCTACCGATCTTATCCACTAATGTATGGAAAGTGGTTTGCTATTTAGAAAGCTTACTGGACACTGTCTCATTGTTCTGGAGTGTGATTAAAGGCAAAATCGCCAAAACGTCATCATGTCAGTCAGACAGATTCCTTGAAATCGCGTATTAATACACCTGTTCATAAAGACCTAATTGAAAAGTAACATACAACTTGGCTAAATTTGTTTTTCCTAAATGTACAAATGGGATATTTTTGAATACTGTTTAGGATTTTAGAGGGAACGTTAATCGACTGATCTCAGCCTGTTATGTAAATGGGAATATGATCTGTAAATAGTTGTGATTTCTATGCGCAGGAAACACTGTTGCTTTTGAACATTCAAGCTAACTATTAATTAGTTCCTTCTGGCAGAATCAGCTGGCTTGCTGACTCAGCTTTGGTATGTTTGTTTGTGCGTTGATGGCACAGCGGTAGAATGTTCACCAGCCACGCTGTAGGTGATCCGGTGTTCGATCCGCGGCCACTAACGCACTCCTTTACCTCGTTACGCCAGTAAGAGGGCTCTCAAAGATGGAAGGTTGGGCAGGAGGTGGATAGCGACCCCATCCCGTAAAAATAAAATGTCACTGTTATTGAAACTTTAAGCCTGTAGCTTGAAGCCCTATGTTTCACTGTCTGCCTGTCTGTTTTCAACATAGAACTTCGCACCGATGTGAAGCAGTTCGAGTCACCACACTCCTTCCATTTAGCACACAAAGCAAGAGAAGAAAGTAGAAGATATGCAAAATAGAGGCAATAGACGGGGATATGAGACAAAAGGAATAGTAATAACGAAGAACAAAACAGTTTCATTGGAAATTATAAGTCACAAGGAATGGATGCATCTGCGCTAGCCAATGAGAACTATGAGTTTGAACCATATCACCAATTGTCTCCAGCCTTCATTGGTTTTCACCGTCCTAAGGACCCCAACTAGGAAGTCTACACGTTCCTACGTGGCTTAAACTAACTGTTGTGGATTTCATTCACTCATCAGGCCATGTTTTGGTTTGACCACCACCACTAGCTCTTTTCCAACCTGACCCTGTATCAGCTAACAGGCGATGACTAAACATACGTGACACATATGCTGACCATCTCAATCGATGTAGCTTCACAGCCTCATCCATTCACTTCCCCTCCTTACCTAGCACTCGACCGATGCCTAACCTCAATATTGCTCCCCGTATTATACCATTTCACACGGGAACGGAAATGAATGAAAAGAAGAAAACAAAAAGAATTTTATTGTTATTGTTATTATTCCTTTGGTTTCCAAGTGGAATACATGGCTTCAACAGCAAACAGCCATTTCACTCTGCCCTCTGCAGTCTTCTATTTAGCTGGTTCCATGACTGCCCATAAGTTTTAATCTTCTCTTTATACGATCTTCTCCATGTCTCCCCGAATCCTCGGCCAACTAGTCTTTTCTCATTTAGTTCCCATCCAACAGTCTCCACAGCTTATGTTCATTCCATCTCTATTTACCTCAGTATATTTGTCTGGAGATATATTCTTGATTGGTCATCTAATCTTCAGTATCCAGCTAGCGAAGACAGCTGTTGAAAGTTTGAGGCCTGCTAGGAATGATCTTCAGTTGGTTTGAAGTACTTCGGTTTCTTGCAAACAGTCGAACCTGTATACCTCCGATGACCTCGCCCTCAGAGGTGAGAAACGCCTGTCTTTGAGTGTTAAGACCATTTACAACTAGCGAGCGAATACTACTGTGTGACTTATGGGTGATATCCACCTACTTATATCAATAAACCAGTAGTATGTAGCGTCTTATATTTATAAGTTTATACTAACTTTGATATCACTAAAAGGCCAAGTTAAACTTTAAGCACCATTAACTACCAATGGAGTGCGACCGCAACAATGACCTTGAAACGCTTACCGAGCAAGTTAGTGAAACCTGGCATATAATGCTGTCATCATCAATGAAATATGCTCAACGAAGTGTTTGGTTATTAAATGGGATATCTGGCAAGTTTTGGCTTCGGTTTGAAAAAGATTAAGTTACGCTTTAATCCAAGGACAAGTTAGGGTTAGGTTAACCTAAGAAAGGCGACATTAGGGTTGGTTCGAGTTAGATTACAATTAGTTTACGGATATTTTCATGTAAGGGCTAAGTTTAGGAAAGATTAGAGTTATTGATAGAGTTAGAAGACCTAAATAATTACATGCATACAATATGGTTAAATCACTCTGTTGGTATAAGAATAGAACTTGTGCATTGTGCTAGAGTGGGTAAAATTTATTTTGATGAAGTCTCACAGTGTGTTATACAGTAATATTTACTGATGACCACGTTTCGAGCACTCTGTTGATACTCCAACCTAAAACTGAGAGCTATTTTTATCACATGTGAGAGGAAGGTAACACACTCTGTAACACTTTCATACAGTTTTTATGCATATTTTTCCCCATAAATATATGTCTACCATACACAAAAATGCCTCCTTCACGTGATTGGTGCGTTCAAGGTCATTCGCTGGTGCTTAAAGTTTAAATTTACCCATTAAAATATCTTCTTTAGTCGCTTATTTCAATCTATAAATATCTGTGGATACTTTTAAAAGAAATTATCAAAATGTTTATTTAATCTACATTACTTTCTAATTGAATATATTTGTAGGAGTTTCTTTGTGTCATGGTTATCAAGGCATTTATCTTAATTGTCCAAACGGCGCACACTGTGATGAAAATCAAGAGAAGTACATGTGCAAACAGTCAGTTTCAAGTAACGCGGAAAATAAAACGGAAGAAAGAATCAACTCAACAGTGTATAATACGTGTAAGTTCAGTGTGGAATAAGCTTCTTCGCTTATTGACATAGAGAGTACCAAATAGTTAGACTATCATATATAGAACAAAAAGAACTACAAGTAACGGAGCTTTCAAATTTCTTAACTTTAATTTATATATGTCAAACCAAGTTCACATTTAGCTGTTTGAAAATAAATTGGGCATTGGGTATATGATATTCATTTTTATAAAAGTTCTTTTTGTATTCCCCGATGAATGGAAAACAAAACGATATTGTTGCTTATACTGATGTTTCGCTATAGAGCGGAGACGTCAGACAATATCAGAAGAGTATTCAATAAGCACAACATCAGAGTTTTATTCAAAACATCACACACACACAACAAAGCAACCTCGGCCATATAAAAGGCCAAATCCCTAAGGATTCTCTATCTGCTTGTGTCTACAAAGTAAAATGCTTGGAATGTGATTGCGATATACACTGGACAAACATCGTCGGACAGAAATCAAAATCAGAAGAAATGTACACAGTAGAGTAAGTGTCTGTTCAACCAAATACCGAGAAATCCAGTTATTAGACTAGAAAAGCTTGAAAAATCATCAACCCACCATAGCTCGTCTACACGCTGTAGAATCAGGTCACAAAATCGATTTTGACACTAATGAAATCATCATCCAGAAAAGCATTTCACAAATCACAAAGAACATCTCACATCATCAAAAGCACTTCATGTTATCAAATGGAATCAAAATTGTCTGAACTGAATAGGGATGATTAACTAAAACAGAATTTGACCTGGTTACAACAGCCCAGACCCCTCCTCCATGAAGTGACAAAATCAACATGAATGTGATAAGCAATTTCATTGTGTAAACACATGCTGGTTTCATAATTTTACACACTTATCGAATCCAACAATCTACACTTGGTTTTTTTATCTTTACCAATTGGCCAACTTGACAAACACTTAAAAATTACCTCATGCTGAGGAACGATGATGAAGTTGTTATATATAAGCTAAGTGTATTTTGTAAATTCTGGTTTAGTAATACTGCTTTGATAAAGCTATTAGTAGCAGTATTAAATAACGAAACGTCAGTAAAAACACAGTAATATCATTTTGTTTTTCATTCATTCGGAAATACAAACAATTCTTAACTTTAAGTTTGTATTCCCCTCTGATGCATTCCTAAATGTTGCTAACCCAACAAAAATGGAAGGTTGGGTGAGAGGGTTAGCTACCTCACTGCATAGAAACAGCACGATTGCTACGGGAACTTCAAAACTCAACTCAAAATGAAAACGAATGAGAAAAAATTTGCAATAAGAGTTAGATCGAGGTGAACAGCTGTTAAGTATGTTAGCTAATGTGACGAACCACTGAATGGAACTGACCGAATTTCACCATCCACGCTTATTATACACAAAAAACTAAGATATGCATGAAATTTGCTAGTAACTGATCGGAATTCACGATATATAAATAACATGATTCCGTTTGAATAAATTAAAACAAGTTTAATACTTTTCCTAAAAATGTTTTACCCTTCATTTCCAAGTCAGCTGGACATAAAGAACAGTGAATTTCATCATTACTGTGTGTACTGTGTGCAACAAAATCTAGGTTTCAATTCATGTATAATCCCCATCCAGGCATTAATGAAAGCAAAACACGCAGATCAGCGAAGAGTCTCTTTTCGACGAATTCATTTTCTTAGCTGTACAATCGCAAATCTATCCAGCATGGTTGCGAAAAGGCAATAGTGGTGCAACAAGGAGTGCGATAGTTGAACATCTGGTTAACACTGATCATTCCATTCCAACAAACGCCTCCTTTAAAGTAATCTACAGAGTCAAGAACAACCCATCAAAGGCAATACGGTTTCGTCTTCTTTGTATCGCTGAAGCTCTGGCCACTCACATAGAAAAACTGGAGCTGTGCATAGAAAAAAGCATTACGCAACCACTTATACTGTCTCAGTAACAACTTTTTTGATTTGATTTTTTTATTTTGATGACTTAATTTTGTTTCTTTGCCTGTTCTTTAATTGCTTATTATTCTTGTATTCATTTAGAACTCTTACGTAATTTCGTATTATCTACTTTGTTCCTATGTGCATCCTGAGTAAAACTCACTCATCAAACTATTCATATTATTACATAACTTCTTTTAACAACTGTTTGTGACACCTCATCACCTTTGTTACTACCCTAATTTCACTAACACCTAATTTTCTTGACTAATTTTATATTACGTAACTCCAATTACCAATCTTCACCAGTTTAGTTTAGTTTAAATAACTATAACCAATTGTATTTTTGTTTGATAAACTTATTGTACACATACATACAAAATAACACATATATATTTGCGATTGTACAGCTAAGAAAATGAATTCGCCGAAAAGAGACTCTTCACTGATCTACGTGTTTTTCTTTCACAAATTCTAGGATTTATTTTTTACTACTAGCAAATTATTTAAGTAGAACAGCAAGGTAAACAAAAATAACTTCATGTAACCAAGAACACACGAGTCAGCAAATAGATTCGTTTTTGTAACTTCACTTCAAAGCTTTACAGTTATTTAGAGTGTTTATATATATACTACACAGATTGGCAAAAGAGGTCAAAGGTTATTGTCAGTTAGTAATAAAGCAAATTAAAGTGAAAAATTATAATTAACAGTAATTCTGGCCTTTGAAACGATGAGTATGGAGTTACAGTCTAAATGTGGACACCATCATTCAATAAAGAAGTATGTGTACCCGGCTGCTGAGTCTCAAATGGGGCCATTGGCTGAGACATCGCTGCTCAGATAAGTGGAAAGTGGTGAATTTCTTCAAAATTCAAATACTACGGTTATTTTAAGCCTTATCGTATTGTAAATTCTTCACGTTGCTGCTCATTACCTCTCCTAATAAGGTTATAAATTTTAACATTGATTTTTTGCTTCACTACACACCTTTTAATTATTCATCATCTTTCATTATGCTTTCCTGACTGAAGCCTGTTCAGTTGGTTATCATCGAATGTACAGCAATCAATCATTGGACACATTGAATGAAATTCCTAGTGATCAATTCAAACAATTAATTTATTCTACTGATAATCGTGAAAACAAGCTATTGTGTTATTGTCAGGTGAGTACAGTTTGATAAGATTGTGTAAAATAATAATTTAAAGCCAATATGAGTGAAAATATTCATTCAGACGTCTATAAAACACAACATAAATGAGCAAAGAATATCCTTTTCGATAATTTCCTCTTCTGGCTCTACAATTATATATCTGTATGTTTATATACATAGAAATGTGGTATAAAAAGCATTCCCTGCTGCTGAATTATGCTGTGTCTTCAAAACCACTCCTCTTTTGAGTTCGGGAGTAAAAGATAAACTGCCTAATTTCGCCCCCTTCTGTGTGTATCTACCAATTTAACTGCTCCTGTGGACGGAGCCAGTTAGTCACATAAGCCGTACAGTTAGGCGTGTTTTTCGTTGGATTCCCGAACATCACCTTGCATAGTGGTTAAGTAAAGGACACACAAAATCTATTCACAGAGCTATTCTATCTCATCTTGTGGATACAGAACACAAGATTGATGTCAACGAGACGGCTTTCAAAGTTATTTACCGCATACCAATAGATCCCAGTTTCGCCTTTAGAGTCCGATTACTAAATATTACTGAGGCTGGCTGTTGGGATCCATATTAAGAAGCCTAATTTGTGCGCCCGAAAGAAGTTAGTTCAGGCATTATCCTTACCTTGGCCATCTAGGTTTGAATGATCCTCAAGTTTTGTGGAAATTTCCTAATTTTAGTTGATATTCTATTTGCTACTATATCTTTATTATTGTTATTATAATTTAAGCATCATTAATGAACTGTAATTCCAGTGATCTCACTTTACAAATCGATATTATTTAAAAAACACTAATATTGTCAATGACTACTACTCTAGAATATTCTATGTATATAAGCACATATATCTAATTGTAGAGCCAGAAGAGGAAATTATCGAAAAAGATATTCTTCGCTGTATATATATATATATATATATATATATATATATATATATATATATATGGTCGGCCTGCAAAATTTGGGCTACCGATATCCATGCTGAAAATTGCATACTTGTACTGAAAATACGGCGTGGCATCAAGCTGTAATCTTTCAGTATGGTTTTTGAAAGGGGAATTTAGCAGAACGAATCCCTTTCAATTCTTGAACACCTTGTTCTTACACATCATTCTGCATCAAATTCCTTCAAAGTGATACGTGAAAGTCATTCAAAGGCCGGGGGGGATCCCGACACCATCTTCTGTTAACAGTGAGAGTTCTTGATATACGCAAAGCAGGACGTTAAACCGTGTATATAAATAAGCGGTTTATTCAGTCACTTTTATCACCATGGTCTTAAACGTCTTTTCATGTTCATGCTTTCTCTTCCTTTCTTCCCTTTCGCTTTCAAACTCCTAACTTTAAGGCGTAATTTATAAATATTCTGGATCTCTTAATCTTATGAACAATATTCTTCCTATTTCCATGAGCTTAGAGTTTTTAATGATAATCATTTCTCAGGGCTATTCATCACTTAATGGTTTGCTATCCTAAGGTTTGTTCAATTAAATGCTCCATTATCAGCTAGTGGGTCCAAAGTCTGAGTCCGGTTTGGCCCACTTCCGCTTGATCACCAGTTCTCTAACAGCAAATGTGATTCATAACGTGGTAACTGAAGTTTGTATAACGATCTAAGGCTACCTCATACATTTTGCTGACAAGCCAACGCTTGAATATCAATGAGATGCTCACTAGCAACTTGCCCTATTCAGGTGTAGGTAGTTACCTGGGGTACTAATGAGAAGTCGTGACCAGAAGGGTGCAGCAGGTCGGGTGTGAGGACAAATAATCGCCGAAGACTTTGGCTATGTCGTGAATTGGCAGAAGTTAGAATTCATGGGCCATTGGATCGGGTCTCAGTGGCTTAATGGTATACGAGCTCGCTAACCTTGTAACCAAAAGGTCCTGGGTTCGAATCCCGGTGGGTGCGTACTGCTGAAGAGTCCCAAACTAGGACGAAACAGCTATCCAGTACTCTCAGGTTTCCCAATAGTTCTCTAACTAATGTCAGCTCATGTTGAAAATCCTGTAACCAATCAAATCCCTACAAACCAACACTTGAAACGGATATAAGCTTGACTGATTCTGGGTACTGAAATGAATAAACAGCTGTGTTGATGAAATTACCGATTCAGATGACCTCTTTAATTTTATTTCTACCTTCATCACACATGATGGTTTAAATGTAATCTCCAAATGTTTGTTTGTCGGGATTCAATTGATTTCAAGCTTGATCACGGATTTACATCAGTTCGACAACCACTAGAGAAAATCAGGGAGTACTGAACAGCTGTTTCGTCCTAGTATTTGCATTCCTCAGCAGTACGTACTCATCGCCTCATAAGTAACAACATTGGCTGACAGAAGTTAGAATTATTGAGCCATTGGATTTCCTCCAAGTGGCTGAATAGTCAGCGGGCTCCCGTTGTGCCCAGCAGATCCTAGCTTCGATCCTGTGTAGGCAGGGTCATGGGCAGTTGGTAGGTACTAAAGAGTCCCAAAATAGGAAGAAGCGGCTGTCTAGTACTCTCTGGTCTTCAGTGCCTTGGTACATTAAAGCCACCAAGAAATATACCACACACAGTCTGTGTCATAATTTGTGTGGTGGCTGGGATACTGCTCGGACGCTTAGACTGAAGCTGGGGGTTGTCCTGAGGTCTGATCCACAAGGTAGTAGAGCAGCATCGGGACCGAAACAGGTCAATACGCTATTCGATCCGTTAGGATACTGCAGTTCATGTACACCGTTAGTTTTGGAATGACTGACTGTCTGGTTTCAACACAGACTTTGGCATAGATTTACAGCAGTTCGAGTTTCCACCGTCCCTCAAGGTACCACAAAAAGCAAGAGAAGAGAGTAAAGAGAGATTCAAAAGGGAGATGACAAACAGAAGTGTGAGTGAGGCAAAAAGAATAGTAATATGGAAGAACAATAACGTTTTATGGGATATTATAAATCACAAAGAGTAGTGAAAGTATCTACGCCAGCCACTGAGAACGATTTTCGGCCATATCACCAATTGTATCCAGCCTTCATTAGTTCTTATCATCCCGAGGAACCCAAACAGTCAGAAAGTTTATATCTTCTGATGTGATTGGCTGGCTTAAAGTAAATGTTGTGGATTTCATTGACTGATGAAGTCGTGTTTTGGTTTGACCTCTGACGTGCTAGCTCTTTTCCAACCTGATTTATCTTGTGTCAGTTAGCTAACATTCCCCGTCGTCGAGGAAGGTGATAGCTAGGCATGCATACGCAACACATGTCTTAGACATCTCAATCGATGTAACTTCACAACCTCGTCGACTGATTTCCCAGCTCCTTTTGGTAGGCTTGTGTGTCCCTAATTCCTTTTGTAAGCTCCAAACGTTTGACTTAGGCCTCTCATTTTGTGACCAACACCCTCTACCACCGCATGGAGGCAGTCAATAGTACTTATCTGACAGGGACTATGAACACATGTGACCACATGAGAGGATTTGGTTAGGAAGACCGAAGTCTTCCAACCCAATGTCAGGATCTTCAAAATTGGACGTACAGATAGATACTTGTCGACGAAGTTGGTTGGCAACCCTGCCACATATATCATGCAACAGAAGAAGTAAGATTCTCCCAAAAATTATGTATTTACAGATTTCATGAAACTCATTCATCGTTTCATCACAAGTAATCCGGAGAAAACTTCAAGAAAAAGAAATAAAGCGATATAAGGGTGATTGTGTGTTATATCGCCTATTTTACATGTACATATATCTGTCTATACACGAAAATATTATGCAGTTGCTTTCGATAGATAGAAAGACAGACAGACAGGCAGTCAGACGGATAGATAGGTAGACAGACAGGCAGATTAGAAAAACACTAAAGTCGATTACTATTGCCCGTCACCTGATTTATCTATCCGATTAAACTTCATAGGAATTAGTAATGAATCCCGTTGTAGCGTTGATAATAATTGATCACATTGAACAGTCACATTGTCGCGTTGATATATTTGAGTAGCATTCAATGTACAGGAGATGCGATCATTCTATAATTAGAGAAAAATAAAGAATTTAGAAACAGAAGTATGGAATGCAATTTTTTGTTACAAGGAAAATGGCGGTTTTTTTCTATTCAGCGAAAAAATACTATCTCTTTTCAACAACATTTTCAATCTGTAAAGTCGTATTTACATTACGGAATAAGAAGGCGTTTAGTGGCACTAGAAATTGCTCAGTAGTCAATATTGCACATAAGATAATAAGAATAAAGAGATAATTAAAATGATATACTAAGGGGGGGGGGGAGTAGGGTTGAGTTGAAGTGAATGAATTACAAAACTTTTTAAGATTATTAAATAAGTGAGCTGGTATAATTTAATTTAATTTTAGATTTTCCCGTCGATTGATTGGACCGAAGTGGTCGCTCGGTCTCAGGTTGACATGTCTGTTGGCTTCTTGTGCAGATATTTCAACGATGTCTGGGCATTTAATTAGAATTTAAATGGCTGATGGTGACTAGTAGCAGTGGAATTATTATTATAATTTAAGCATCATTAATGAACTGTAATTCCATTGTGATCTTACTTTACAAATAGATATTATTTTAAAAAACACTAATATTGTTATTAACTACTAATCTACAATATTCTATGTATGTAGACATATATATATAATTGTAGAGCCAGAAGAGGAATTTATCGGAAAGGATATTCTTCTTTGTTCGATTATTTTGTGTTTAATATGAGTGAGTTGGTGGTCCATCTATCTATCTATCTATAGAACAAAACTCAGTGATGTGCTGTATCATCATTTCTTCATATTTGGGCCGTGGGAGGGGGATATATCGTAGGTGACAGGCAGATTAAAAAGTACCCGCCTGACTAATTTTATTCGTCGCCAACTTCATTGCCAACTAGTCTACTTTAGCCAAAATGAACTCCCAATCAATTAAATGGAATGATTCGAAGTTACAATCATCGCATGCCTTTCTCTTAAACTAGGCGTTGACACAATTCACTCTTTTGGCACTGCCTTAT